TGTATATATTTATATATCAATTTTATTTCATTGATATATGTGTCTGTCATTGTACCAGTACCATGCTGTCTTAACCACCACAACAGTGTAGTAGGATTTGAAATCAGGGAGTGAGATGCCTCCTGCCTTTTTTCTATTTTTAAGAAGTGCTTTGCTTATTCGGGGCTTCTTTCCATTCCAAATGAAACTGGAGATTGCCTTGTCTGTCTCGTTGATCCAATTCTTAACGTAATTTCTAAAGTGTAAAATTAGTCTCTTTTTTTTTTTTTTTTAATTAATCTCTTTCATTCTCAGCACATTCTCTTTTCCTCTTCTATTAGTTCCAAAAGATAGAATATAAGCTTCATGACGAGAAGCTTTTGTTTTTGCTCACTGCTTTTGTTTCCAGTACTCATTACCTATTATATAATAAAACTCATTGTCATTAAGTCGGAACCACATCACAGCGAGTTTTTAGACACTGTAAATTACATAGAACAAAATTGCTCGTCTTTCTTCCAAGGAACAGCTGGTGGATTTGAGCTGCCTGCCTTTGGGTTGACAGCCCAACTCCTTATGTCTAAGCCTGCAGAGCTCTCAGTATATAAAAGGTCCACAAATGTACATTTGTGAAGATAGAGTGGCAGAAAGTATGTTAAAAATGAAATGTTCCTTTTTCTCTAATTTTTTAAAAATTAGTTTGCAAGGTTAATTGACTTTCTGTTTAGCCAGTCATAAACATTTTGTTTTATGGTATTATTTAAAATTCAGTGTAATCGTGTTGTTTTCACTTGAGCCCTGTGATTCTCATTTCTGTCTTGTACACTCTCTTATCTTTGTGTTCCTGTTTAGACCTTGTAGTTAGTTAGTTATAAGGAATGAGTGCCTTCATGGTTACATTGTTCCCTATTGGTCCCTCTGTTATTTTTCTGAATGCTGAGGCATTGGAGAAATGGTGAGTTTTTTTTCAAGTTGACTGAGGTCCATAATAGGATTCTGTTAGTCTCAATTGGAGCAGTAAGCCTGGCCATTTTTATTTTTTTTCTATATTGTTCCATAGTTTGTCCTACTCAGTGCAGTATCTTCCTTTTATATTGGTTAGCAGTGGTAACAAGGCCCCAGCTAGTTCTTCTGATGTCACGGTCATGGAAGTTGAGTTTTGCATGGTCCATTATTCTGGAGATAATTCTTTCTATTCTTAAAGTTTCAGAAAATGATCAGAGCTTCGAGGTAACCATGACTGCAACCACAGAGGTGGCAGATGATGAGATTACTGAAGGAACTGTTACACAAATCCAGGTATAGTAGTAAGCCATTTTACCTTACAGTGAAATTCATTTTAGTTTGAATCTTCTAATCAGCATTTTCTGCATCTTGGTTCTTAGATGGGGTATTGTAGATGTTTTAGCAGTCCTGTTATATTGTTAAGACAGGAATACCACTGGTGGATGGACTTAACACATACACTTTCTGAAAAGTTTTGGAGCCAAGAAGCATGAATTCAAGACAACTGCTATAGGAAAAGGATTTCTTTGTTGACCACAGGGGTACATTCTGCATATCTGGGGATTAAGATTTACACATACATATATTGGGGAGGGAGGGAACACACACAGTGTTTGATAGTTTTTGATGGTTCTGTATTACCCTTGATTGATTTTATATTAGCTTAAAGTTCCTATTTTGTTGTAAAGTAGTTATTTTAGAAATTGATATCTTAAAAAGAATTACAGTCATCAGAATATAAGGCATTATAGAGGTCATGATTTTTCCCTCAATTCTCAGCTTTATAAGTCATCTTGGACCTCTTTTAAAAATTGTAAATAAATTGAAGGTTATAAAAACATTAGGCCAGGTTCAGTGAATTCTAGCTTTTGTTGCGCATGGATTTTTTAAGAAAGTTTTGTGCTTGAGACAACCATGTATTGAGAAAAGATACTACTCTTCTTACTGTGCTTGACTGTTCACTGGCATAATTATTTTCAAGTAAAGAGGGTTTCAGTTCCTTTTGAAATTGGAATTTTAGTTTCTGCTTTCTCAGCAAAAAGTTCAATTTTTCTTAGTATTTTACATCCATCCAGTAATAGAACTTTAGTAGGTTTATCCAGTTGTAGAATGGACTTTCTTAAGTGGTCATTACACATGTGGCTGTTCCTTTATCCAGACTCGAGTCTGAGATAGTCGCACTGTTGCCATGTCTTTCTTACTTACTATAGCTCTCTCTAGGCTAAGACTAACTCCGTTAAAAGAAGCTTTGTTCCTACAGAATTTGTTAGATGAGGTATGTCTGTAATTGAAAGTACTGTATACCTGGTGGTGGTTGCACAAATGTTATTTTCACTATTTTATCCACTGTATTCTGCACTTTAAAGGGGTGAATTTTAAAGCATGTGAATTATATAGCATACTGTTTTAGCTGTAACAATTATAATAGAAATTTTTGATAGCCTTTATAGGCACAAAATTGTCTCCAGAGCAGGCTAAAAGAGATGTAGTAAATAAGAGGATCATGATTGTGTGGTGTCTGCTGATGTGGCCTATTGCTTTTATTCCTTTAACTTGAAATTACATGTACAGACTGCCTATGAGATTAGCCAGTCATAATACTCACGTAATCTTGCTTGAAACCTGCAACAACTGTGTGGGCTCATTGTGTATGTGAGATATATGTATATATCACACAACTAGTGGCTTTGAATATTTTATGTAGATTTAAATATTTTCTTAAATTTTTCAGTCAGTTTTCTGTTACGCTTTTTAATGCTGATAATTTTATTTTCATACTATGTAGTAATAATGGTAACATTTATCTGGTATATTCAGTATATCTTTATTGTAACTATAATAAATAGATTCTGTATTATTATGCTAAAAGTTTTTAATATTTAGTAGTACAAACAGAACTGAATCTGTTTTATCAAGCTTATAATATTTTATTTTTACTTTTTCAAGATTCTACAGAATGAGCAATTAGATGAAATATCTCCCTTGGGTAATGAAGAAGTTTCAGCAGTTAGCCAAGCATGGTTTACAACTAAAGAAGATAAAGATTCCCTAACTAACAAAGGTATGGTATACTGTGGATTTTAGGATAGAAATATACATGCTCTGTTATTAAAGATGAGGTGCCAAAATGCCAAAGACCAGGTCATGATGCATATGATTGCATTATTTGAAAATGCTATCAGATTACAATAAAGAAGATGACTACATCATTATATAACTGCAAATTTATCTAGTTGTCAGACCTAGTGAGACTTATGGTCCAGCTAAGATTACACGTAGCTTTAAGCATCACATCCAACATTAATCTCTCCCAGGTCTTCAGCATTTCTTGCTACCAAGCATACTTTGTTAATGCACACAATAATTGAATAATAGGTTTCCACTATCAGTGTTAATGTGAAAAGTCATATAATGAGAAAGTAAATGCAGAGTGGTCATAAACTAAGGTAGAAAGGATTTGAATACACTAGGATTCTGAATTGGACTATTGTTCTTGTCTGGCTATTTTGGTTTGGGGTTTGTTGATTTTTGGGGTTTTTTTTCTGGGTTTGGTTTTTTGTTTTTTTTTTTAATATAGCGGGTAATTCACAGGAAATTATGCTACTTACCCAGTGGCTCCACGGAAGCCCAGTGGAGGGTCAGCTGTGAATCTATTCTGACTCAGTGGCAATGAGTTGAGTTTTATATACATTTAAGTTTGTGAATGAATTCGTGAAACTGAGGCTTACTGATAACTGATTATTTTCTTTGTATATATCTAGTCTGCTTAGGTTTTGCACTTTTAAATTGTAATATTTGAAAATATTAGTTGCTGTTTATGGAAACACAAGTCAAGCCATTAGACCCTTAAAAAGATCAGCTAGCTGGTTTAAATAAGCTACTTAGAGATGGTCTAGTGGATAGGAAATTGTGTCAACCCAAAGTCAAGCAGTTTGAAGTGCGATTTGCAGCCACTAAAAACGCATTGATCGGTTCTGACTTGAAGAAAATGAAAGTTCTAAAGTAGCTAATATATATGAATTACTATAGAAGCTACTCTAAAGTGAATTGTATTTACACCACTTTAAAGAAAGAAGGCAGAGATACACTGGTAATTTTCAACGACTATATAGTACTCTTAAGATTATATTACTCATTTGGTGTTGGTTTCCAGTACATTATATTTGCTTTACTCTAGAATGGAGCTCTGGTGGCCCTAGTGGGTAAGAGTTGAGCTGCCAACCTTAAGGCAGGCAGTTCAGATCTACCAGGTTTAAGTGTCTTTTCAAAAGATTAAAGAGAAACTGATAATTTTACTTAAAAGGCAAGAGTTTACAAATGTGAATTTACATGAATAGCTTTCAGATGAATGAGAAATTCACTACATTTTATTCCCGTAGGTAATTTTGTTGTTAAGGAGTAATCATTTCTATAACAGTAATTTTCTTTTAAAGGACATAAATGGAAGCAGGGGATGTGGTCCAAGGAAGAAATTGATATTTTGATGAGCAATATTGAACGCTATTTGAAGGTACCTTATGGCATATTTTTGTGTTTTACTAATTTATTCACTGCCAAGTTTTTAAAATATCAAAGCATATTATATATGCTTATTATTAAGAATTTTTTATTTTTAGTCATAGATTGTTAATATAACTTAGTCATTCTAAACTATGGCTATAATTAATATTTTTAAACAAATTTTGTATTGGCATTCAAAAATAGCTTTATTTCTTTAATTACCACTGGACTTTAGAGAAAATAGTTATTTAGAATAACTGATCTTAATAGCTTTGAGTAGCCCTGCCTTTTCAAGCAACTTGTAAATTTGTGTTTGTGTTTATAGTATCTAATACTTAAGCTGTGCATGTCATTAGATAAGTTTATAAGATCATACTAAACCTTTTCATTTTTTTAAATTGGATTTGTTTACATATTCACATGAATGTCCTGTGAGTTTAGTCCTTTTTATTATGTATCTTTTGAACATCCTGACTTTAAGTTACTGGACCGTGAATTAATATAACATGGTTTGGAAAAGCTGAAAATAGGCCCCCAAAATGTAAGCCTTGTGTTATCGAGTGTGATATAGGTTGTTGTTATGTGCCATTGAGTCACTTGCGACTCATGACGACCCTATGTACAACAGCCCTAAACTCTGTTCTGTCCTGTGCCAATCGCACCGTTTCTGACACTCCCATCCCGATTATCCCAGTCACTAAATCAATCCACCTCATAGAGGGACTTCCCCTCCTGCGCTGTCGTCCCTCCACCCTCCCAAGCATGATGTCCTTCTCCAAGGACCGGTCTCTCCTCACAGCATGTCCAAAGTATGTCAGACAGAACCTCAGAATCCTTGCCTCCAATGAGCCACCCGGTTAAACCCTTTCCAGGGCAAATCTGTTTGTTTTCCTAGCAGTCCATGGTATTCTCCAGCACCACAGCTCAGAGCCCTCAATTCTCCTTCTATCCTCCTTGGTCCTTGTCCAACTCTCTGATGCATAACAAGTGATTGCAAAGACCATGGCCTGTATCGGATGCACCTTAGTTTCCAGAGAGACACCATTGCTCTTCAGTACTTGGGAGAGGTCCCTAACAGCAGACTTTCCCATGGCAATGCACCTTTTAATTTCCTGGCTGCTGGTACCAAGACTGTTGACTATGGAGCCAAGCAAACTAAAGCTGTGTACAATCTCAATCTCTTCACCATCCATCCTGATGCTACCAATTGGTCCATTGGTGAGAATCTTTGTCTTCTTGACATTGAGCCTCAATCCATATTGGAGGCTGCAGTCCTTAACCCTCTGCAGCAGGTGCTTCAGGTCCTCTTCAGTTTCAGCAAGTAGGGTTGTGTCATCCACATAACACAGATTGTTGATAAATCATCCACCAATCTTGACCCCACATTTCTCCTCATAGAGCCCAGCCTCCCGGATAATCTGTTCTGCATAGAGGTTGAAAAGGTATGGAGATAGGATGCATCCCTGGCATATGCCCTTCCCAATTTTGAACCATGCAGTGTTCCCTTGCTCTGTTCTGACGACTGCCTTCTGGTCCAAATATAGGTTTCGCATTAGAACGATCATGTGTTTTGGGATTCCCATTCTTCTCAGAGTCAGCCATAGTTTGTTATGATCCACACAGTCAAATGCCTTTGCATAGTCAGTGAAACACAGATAGACATTCCTCTGGTATTCCCTGCTTTCAGCCAAGATCCATCTAACATCAGCTACAATATCCCTAGTACTACGACCCCTTCTGAAACCAGCCTGGACTTCTGGTAGTTCTCTGTTGATGTGCTGTTCCAGTCATTTTTGGATAATCTTCAGTAAAATCTTGCTTGCATGTGAAATCAGTGAGATTGTTCTGTAGTTTCCACATTCTGTTGGTAGGTTATGATATCAAAGGAGTCTATGAAGGGTGGGACAGTTAGAAAAAAAATATTGTGGAACTGCTAAGATTTGAGCTGAGTCTTAATGAATAGGGTAGAATCAAGATACAGTAGGAATGAAAGGAATGATGGGTATAAATGCAGAGAAGCCAGGACATACTAACTTCTTAATTTGAAAGAAGGAGATTACAGAGACAATTAGCCTCTTAAATGTGGGCTTTGAAATTCAGGCTAGGGCATTAGAACTTAATCTCATAGGAACTGAGCACATTGAGGTTTTAAGAAAAACTGGTACCTTGGTTAAAATACAGATTGTAGAGATTACAAGGAAACCTTCTGAGAAAATAAGTGAAAAATTGTTGGAAACCTTATCTTGGGCTTTGGTATATTAGGTTATACATTGTAGGTATAATAATAAGGCATTCATTATTGTTAGGTGCCCCTGAGGCCAGTATCTCTCAGAGCAACCCTATAAACAACAAATCTGAACCCTGTCCTGTCCTGTGCTATCTTCCTTATCTTCAGCCTACTTGAGCCTGATTCCATACTCACTGTATCAGTCCATTTCATTGCGGGTCTCCATCTTTTTTTGCTGACCCTGACTTTGTCAAGCACGATGTCCCTTCTAAGTAATAGACTCTTCCAGCAACATGTCCAACATATATATGAGAGACAAAACTTCACCATCGTTGCCTCCATGGAGCGCTCTGTTCTTCTGGCTTTCAGTACTCTTCAGCACCACAACTTAAAGGCATCAAGTCCTTTACTCATCCTTAATCATTGTCCATTTCTCGGGTGCATAGCAAGTGATTGAAAAGACCACGGTCTGAATCTTCAGACTGACATCATTGCTCCTTGGTAATTTAGAGTTATAAATTAGCAACAATTTAAAACAGATTCTGTGATCTCAGTTTAAAGTAGCTTTAGTTAACACTGAAATTTAGACAAAATTGAAGTAGCATTTTAAAATATCTGAGAAGTTCTGTTCTTCTCCTTAATAAAGTCAGATTCAAATAGTACCTGCTTGGAATATAAAAGGAAAGGTATCAGTATTTAACCAACCAGAAATCAAGCCTAGTACCATCAAGTCAAGTTCCACTCACCAAGACCCTTCATTGCGTTTTGACACAGTATATGCTAAGGTCATCCATCACCTGCGCTTCTTTTTTATTAAGCTACTTTCTTTTATTTGGTAATTATATTGTTTCCATTCCTTCACTGTTTTACAAATATAGTGCTGCCAAGTTAACATCTTTAAGTTTCATTTTAAGCTACATCCTTTATCTTCTGGGCTTTATAAAATGTAAAAAAAGAAAAGCTTTAATTCTTTTGTTAATGAATAGATATTCTCCTCATCAGGCACCTGGTTTTAAGATAAACACATATTCTAACTATTCAAGATTTAATTATAACTGGGAAAATGCTATAGGTTTCTATCCAGCAATAACAAAATGCATTATCTGTTTTTTAAGAAATAAAAAGCTATTTTTTGTCTAGAGAGTTTGAGGAGATACCTTCAAGGGTCCTTCCAGCTTTGTGTTTAAAGGATAGGTACATGACTAGGAATCAAGACTTTGAAGATAACCATTTTGCTGTAGACCAGCTGAGAGTTGATAAGGACGTGAATTAGAATTACAGAGAAAGTATATGTAAATAAACAGGTAGTCTAAGGAAGCCAAGAGGCTTTTGTTGTTGGAATAATTGAGTTTTTTATTTTAAATGATAAAAAGAAAGATTGGCAGAAAAAGCCAGTGTTCAAAAGATCACTAAACTTTTAAAATATTTTTATTTATGACCATAATTTTTATTCTATAATGTTCTTCTGTGAATGTCTTATGGCCATTTAAAAATTTTTTTTAATTATTAATTTAGTTTGTTTATTTTTCATTTCA